TCAATAAGATCCTAAAGTCGTAAGCCCTGTCCAACTCTTCCTAGGTCTACCTTTACCCCTTCTTAAGCCTCTCGCATTTTTGCACTAAGGCTTCTGCACTTCTTGTCCTCACTTGCCCAAAGCCCCAAATCACATTGGGCTATATAAAATTAAAAATATTAATGCGGCGTATATATAATCCCCCCCCTGTAGATTATAGGTGTTTGATAGACTCAAACAAGTATCAATTTGCACATTGTTATGTTTAGTGCTATTGTCTGAGCTACATGCTCGTTTTAATCTCAAGCTCAAGATGATATCAAATTTCCAGGCATTGTGGCTTCACCGCCGCTTTCTCGCATCGTGTTGGGTAAAGTATTTTGCTACTACTGCTGCTACTTGTGATATTCACAGGTTCGTGGATAATGAGTTACAACTATTCAATTCATGTGCAACAATAATTGATCTCAACTTTGAAGATTACCAAACACAGGCAACATTTGCTGCTACTTATATTTTGTGGCTCAACAAGGTAATTTCTTATCACGTGGTCCACAATTTACTCATCAATTCTATCTCGAACAAACATTCAAGTAATTAAATTGAAAAATTCCAGTTTTTATCCCAAAAATCATTGAACACTTCAGGCTCAAGACGCTAGTTTTAATCCAAAACCAAAATGAAGAAATTTAGCAATCCGTGTTAAAAATTGATATAATCAACACTAGATAGCACCAACAACCAACCCAGTATAATTTCAACTCCATTGGGGTCTGAGGATCAAGATGTACGCAACTGTATCACTGTTATACCCTTGATGCATTTACTTCCCAAAACTTCATAAAAGTTGAGAGAACTTAAATTTGCCATTTTGATCTAGTCCATTATTTACCCGAAGCTAAAATACTGTAAAAAGATGACTCTTTTAGCTTCATTAACAATGAATATTCAATAAACGACTCTTTTAACATTAATAAAGACAAATACACCAAGATTCACGCTTGAATTCAACAACATTGGAATTTTGAATATAAAAAATGTGACTCAAAACGACGGCGTTTTTATTCAAAACGACGTTGTTTGGGCATTTTGACCAAAAATATAAGGACCCGGTTGCCCCCAGACCTCCCCATTGGATCCGCCCCTGCCCACAATAGCACACTACATGTCATTGTTTGTTGTGATCATCCCAGGAAGAGACTCTTTGCTTGGGGTAGGGGCCATGAACATCTTGACTTCCAAGGTCCTATCTATGGCCTGGATTCACTGGGTATGTTTGACCTCCGAGACTCTACCTTCCTAAACTGGGGTTCTCTTGGAACCAACCTCTCTACTACCAACTACCAAGTAGTGGATGAGATCTTTGTACACACCCTCCCCAGACTCTCCTTCGTGTGGGATTTCACTGACTTTGATTTTGTAAAAGTTCATTTTTGTTGTTGTTGTTGCCTTTTAGCAAATACTGGTGCAGCCCTTGGGAGTTGAGTTTCAAGGGAAATTACACGTGAGCGCGCTGAAGCCATTGTTGATTAATGCATGCCCTGAGAGGGCTTCTTTTTGGGACTCGTTGGTGGAGATGTGCGGGTTTGAATGACTAAAAGCTTCCTTCAGCCTTCTGAACGGTAACCCTTTTGGCCCATCGGCAATTTTGCCCTTTTCTTCAATGCATTATGCCCTTCCGTATGGTCACTCGATTGATATTATACCTTTCGAAGTACGGTGTTTCTCGTATATCCGGCATATGCATATTTACAAATTATTCCATGCTCATTTCACATATTATATCCGGCATTTCCGGCATTTTGCACTTAGAGGATACAAATTATAAAATTGATGTATACATATTTTATAATTGTAGAAAAGTATACATTATTTATATTGCACATACTTAAAGCATACAAATTATGCGATTAATTATTGTAAGGTGCCCATTTCATTATTAAAGAAACTTTTCAATTTGTTCCTAAAAACACTTCCAATGTATGAAAAGATTAAAAAATGTGAGATCTTGAAAATGGAATTGTATAATAGTGCACAATTTTTGCACACATAATGCATTGTACATTATAAAATTAGGGTATGTCCTCATCAATAAAAAAGGTTGAACCTTTTCTGACAGTAAAAAAAGGTTTAACCTAGTTTCTCTAAGATCAAAATTTTTAACGGTGACATATAATTTTAGTTTAGATGATATAAAAATGTTGTCTTGACACGCTCGTGTACAATTTTATCTAAACTTGTTTAGATAATATATATTCGGTTCTTTCTAATTTAACTAAAATTTCAAAATAATTTGAACTAAAAATAACTCCAATCAATTTTAAAAAAACAATAACTCCAATCGCACGTCATAATCTGTAACACGAATGTCTTTTATAGACTGATGGAGTACATGCTTTGTATTCTATAAGAGAGGGCATGGTTCAGAGACGTAACTTAGTTGGTCAACGGGAGTTGCAAAAAGAAAAAATTAATGTGAGTTTGATTGGCAACAATGGCCATGGGTAGCAGCATGCAAGAAATCTTTGCACGTATTTAAAATAAATGCCACTTTTTATTTATGAGTAATATTAGAACTCAATTTATCTCCTTTAAGAGGATTATCTAGATTGGTTTTTTATTTATGAGGACATGTAGCTAGCTAGCTGGGTAGGAGTGTAGGGGCATGTTCTTTAATCATGGGAGGGTCATTGTGGTTATAGATTCTATGTATATATACTCTTTCTTTTTAAAAAAAAGTGTGTGTACAAGCTAATTATATTATTCTAAAAATGACCGAGTCATGCTAGAAACATCATAGTTGGTACCATAGATAACAACCGTATGTGAATTTGTAAAACAAGTTTGGCCTAATGGTGGGTTAAGATGCCCTAACGTCTCAAGATCATTTTTTATCAGGTGTCTAATATTTTCTCTTTTAATGTATATCTTAGCGTATAATATGAGTATGAATTTAAAAAAAGGATGAGACATATCTCCGAAGGTACCTTCCGACTTGATCGAACGGTTACTGAGAAGAAATAAATTAGATTTTAATCATAAATTAATAGTATGAATTTAGAGTCTGTGAATATGATTACCATTGTCAATGTCATTTTAAAATAACTATATATTCACCTCCAATTTGAGGTGACACTAACTATCCTGAGATTGACTACTCCCTAAAAATATTTTGTATTTTTTTGTACATGAAAAACAAATTAGGGAGTGCTTAGTTATTTTTTTTTGGACAAACCCGGCCCACTAAATTTCAATTCCAAACTCCATATTTTTCATACATTGAATATATGATCCAAAATACCTGTCTCGCGTCTCTTTTGAGGAGTACTCCGTATTATATACTGTAGGGGTGTTCAATCGGATAGAACTGATCCGAAAATCTATACTCCGTATTCAATACTCTCTCAGTCTATAAATAAAGTTCTTGTTGCGCGTTACGGTATTTGACTAAATTTATTTTTAAATTATTTTTTATAAAAAATGATATGAAAAGATCTACAAAACTAGATGTAACATGACTATATTATTTTATCAAATAGGACACGAAAATAGACTAACAAAGTGAGTAAAATATGACTATGTGAATAATGAACGTGAGCGAGAACTTTATTGTTGGATGGAGGTAATATTATTTTCATAAATTTTAGAATTGTTGTAAAATAAAATTCACAAATTAATCTTTCAGGGAAGCAAATTAATTTGACCGGGAGGAAGAAAATATTTTCTGAAAAAATGATGGGAACTTTAAAAAAAATATTTTGACAAAAATATTCTTTCATGCATGAGGTCTGCCATTGGCTATTTGTCGTATCGCGGCAGCACATGCAGTCAAACGTTATAGCTCCCAAAAAATCAAAATGCAACGAACACAACTACTCTTTGCCTGCATTATTTTAATTAAAATGCCATTTTGCCTTTATATTGAATTATTTTCACATTAATTTTGCATGAGCCCATTTCCATTTCTTTCATACTTCAAACACAATTCTCATTTTTCTAATGAAATGCATTCATTTTTTATTGAGATAAAGATTTTTAAAATTTAAAAAAAAATTGTTAAAATTTTGGAGTAAATTTTTTGATTTTATTTTTTCTACAAAAAATGAAACAAGGGGCTCACAAATTTTATCTCTGATTAAAAATAAATTAAATCAATGTTCATATTGATATCATATGAAAATATTGATGTAACAATGAAAAAGTACTCCCTTTGTCTCGGAAGTAAAGTTCGAAAACAAATTATTATAGTTGATTGAATTTGTATTAAATTTAATCTATTTAAGTAATGATATAAATTTTTAGATTATAGTTTATATATTTAATCTAGAATCACCATGTTTCGTTATTTATTTGATAAAATAATACATATATAATGTTTGTGTATCCTATTTTAGAAAAATTTGAATATAATTTTTAAATATAATCCGCATAAATTTTCTTATCTAAATAAGTGGTGACAAGAAGTTGACTCTTCAAAACTTATGAGAAAACTCATCTATATTTAATTTCCACCAGAAATAGACACAGTAGTTCATGGTGCATCATTATATTAAAAAATATAAATGAAATTATATTATGATAGAATATACTCGTATGATATGAAACGAAAATAATTTCGATCATACATAATAAATTGCATTGGAGGGAGGAGTATTATTTCGATCATCATTTCCAATTAGTTTTCTCTTCTTTTCCCTTCCATATCATCTTATTCCTTTATTCCTCTTCATTAGTAATGCCCATTTCTGTTCTAATTTAAATTGTTTGTTTTGGTTTAAAATGTTTGACTGAACTTATTTTCAAATCATTTTATCAAATGATTAACGAAAATAAAATAAAAAATAAAATTTAATTATGTGAATAATATTAAAATACTCCGTAATTTTTAATTTGGGAGGGAGAGAGGAGAATGAATTCAAAATTCAAACTTCTCCAGTTTTCCATTTAAAACCCAAGTCCTACGGTTTCTTTGTTCGAGACTTCGAGCCATCGAAATTTCATATCCCCCAAGTAAAACATGGCACAGGCTGCGAATCGAAGGCCCAATTTAGCAGCGTTTCTGGACCCGGCGCTCACCATCCGCATAATGCGCCAACAGAATTCCTCAGCCGCCGTCCTCCGCTGCCGCGAAGCACCGCCGGATCCAACTATCCCCGCCGCCGCACCCGCAGCAGTCCGCGCCACTCCCGCCGTGCTCAGATCCATCTCTGCAACCGACCTAGACTCAGCCTGCTCAGCTCTGACCAAGTCGAAGAGCCACCGCGGCGGCGGCGGCGGATGCAAGTCCGGCCCGAGAGCGAGTTCGGATTCCCTGTCGGTCGGCAGCGGCGGAGGTAGGAGAAGGTCGTTTTGCAGCTCTGTGAGGGCGGATCAGCTGCTGGAAGATGTGTTCAATTGCAGCGGCGTGAAGGTTGTAGCGGTGGATATGGCTCCGTTTATGCAGATCCACGCCGTGAATTTCACGAGGAAGGTCCATGATAGCTTGGAGAAGTTCAGTCCCAAGGCCCTCGCTCTCACCCTCAAGAAGGTAATCTATCCATTAAAGCTCCACCATTCGCAAAAAGCTTTTATTCCTTCATATCTCGCCTAAAAATCCCTAAAATGAAATTAATTTTTTTCAAAACAGTGTGTGGCTTGTCACTTGTGTGCGTGTGTTCAATAAGCGTTTCTTCCAACTTTATTTTTTAACAAAAATTGATCAAACAATTTATTTGATTTCTATTCAAATAAATTTTCTCAATCTCAAGAACAAAAAACTTGTGATTTCTCATTTGAGAAAGTCACTAAACAATTAAATAAAACAATTTCTAATTTATTTGTAAGATATGTAATGAAATTATTTTTATATGGGACGGTTCATTGACATTGGTCAAGAGATGACCCGAGGTTTTTACACCCTAACTCCCGCTCATCCCAAGTCCCCAACCATCTCCCTTCTCAGATTGGCTACAGTAAGTGTTAAAATACTTTTTCTTGGACCACAACCAGATCTTTTTGTTGAATTAGTTCTTTAACATGATATTAGAGCCTAGTTGATTAAGAGGTCACACATAGGGGTAAAAACCATCAATTTTAGAGCCTAGTTGACCAAGAAGTCACGCCTAGTTGACTAAGGGAGGGAGGGCTAAGGATGCAGGGGTAAAAACCATCAATTTTTCAAATAGAGCTCTGTAAGGGCCCCAATTGAAGCCAATGTCATAGCATAACATTGGTGAGCAATGTCACATGAACCAGATCGATTTTTATAATGACATGTAAGGTAGTTTTATTTAGTTGATGGTCATTCCGTAAGAAATGTGTGTTTTGGAATAAGAAGAGCATTAAAATAAAGTACTTCATTGATAAACACCCTCTCGACTCTCAAGTCTCAAGTGCTTTAGAAGTTTATATCAACTCAATGTTTCTTTAGAAACTGGTTTGAAATTTCTGTTCAAACAGAAGCTTTATTTGACGTTCATGGTTGATTAGTGTTATTGTCAAGACAAGTGTTCAGAAGTTTTGAATTTTGAGTATTTGTTTTGGTGGTGATGTAAATAACAGTGGTAAGGCCATTTTTTTTAAAGTAGAAGGGAGGAACATACTACTCCCTCCCACAATAATCATATGTTCCATTAAGTGCAAACAAAATGATGGGGAAATTGCAGGAATTTGATGGAGTATATGGAGCAGCTTGGCATTGTATAGTGGGGAACAGTTTTGGGTCTTTTGTGACACATTCTACAGGTGGGTTCATATATTTCTCAATGGACCAGAAGCTACATGTACTCTTGTTCAAGACCTCTATAAAGAAGGCTTGTTGAGACTCTCTCTTTGGTAAAGACTGAATCTCATTACTAAAGTCTCCCAAGATCAATCGAATCGGATACGAGATAAATTGAGCTATAATACTACTCTCTGACATATAAGGTGCCACATCTTTCGCTTGTACGTGCAAGTGCTCATTAAAAGGATGGACAAAAGTATTTCATTATTGCGTCAATTGCGTTATCAAAGCTATTCGAACATGATAAATTTCCTTATTGCTCTTAATAATAATAATAATAATAATAGTAATAATAATAATAATAATAGTAATAATAATAATATTATTATTATTAATTTTTTTTTGTAGTTCTTCGAGAGAGTAGAAAAATGGCAAGAGTAGTTTATGGTTGAAAAAGAGCCAAGCCTATTGAGTCCACCCATATAGTCTCTTCATGGGCAGGGGACCGATATGAAGTACATGATTTTCTGCACAAACTAAAGAAAACAGCTTGGAAATTCAATCAACGGAGGCCAGATCTCAAAGTGTGGCCAACCATACTGGCTGCCGCCAAGAAAAATTTAGCTCGGCGCCACTATGTACATGGCTTTGCGTGTTTCATCATCAGTTTTGAAGCAAGAGTAAGTTTCTTATTCTCTAATTCATTTCAATAGGTGTCCTGAGGGGTTACTTATTTTGGAGAACACCTGAGGGGTTGCTTCAGTAAGTGTCCTGAGGTGTTCTCCAAAAACCCATCAGGACACTTATTGAAATAAATTAGAGAATAAGAAACTTAATTACTCTTGCTTCAAAACTGATGATGAAACACGCAAAGCCATGTATATAATGGCGTCGAGCTAAGTTTTTCTTGGCGGCAGCCAGTATGGCTGGCCACACTTTGAGATCTGGCCTTCGTTGATTGAATTTCCAAGCTGCTTTCTTTAGCTTGTGCAGAAAATCATGTGCTTCATATCGGTCCCCTGCCCATGAAGAGACTATATTGGTGGACTCAATAGTCTTGGCTCTTTTTCCACCATAAACTATTCTTGCAATTTTTCTACTCTCTCGAAGAACTACAAAAAAAAATTAATAATAATAATAATATTATTATTATTAAGAGCAATAATGAAATTTATCATCTTCGAATAGCTTTGATAACGCAATTGACCCTCTCGTTGGCTATCCTAAGTAGAGTGCATGATTTTTCTAATTCATTTAGTCGAGTAAAAATAGGAAATTAATATATAATGTTGGAATATGCAAATTATCACATCATACGTTATTCATTTCTGGTTTGTATGTAAGTAATGTAACATTGGTTTTGCACTTTTGCAAGGTTCATCTTCAGCCTTGAACTTCAAATTTTGTGCCAACAGCACAACAAAATAGTACTTCTAACTCTAAATATAGTTTTAGCATTTTGTTGTAAATAAAGTAAATGGTTAATATATACGGAGTACTTACTTTGTCCCAAATTGATGAGCTTGTACAAAAGATCATGTCTATTCTTTCTCACTCTAAAACAGTGTAATTTCAAGAAAAATGTTAGGGTACTCTTAAATGGTTGTTATCAGAGGTGTACTCATGCTTCGCACAGATCATCTGTGTCGCACAGATGATTATCATCTGTGTCATCTGTGCAAAGCATGGATGCACTCCTAGTAGCAACCATTTGGGGGCACCCTAGCATGACTCTAACATCAATTAGGGATATATGAAAACCTAATTTTTTTAATTTTGTATTTTATATAAAAGGATATGAGTTTGAAAGTTTTTACATTAGCAAGTCAACTAGGTCGGATTCGGGCTTGATTGAGTTTGATCCATTCTTAGTGGGTCATTTCGGGTTCGATCCACAAAACATTTGTTCAACACTTAATGTTTTCAGGTCGGGTCCCGGGTTAAAAACAAGTCAGTCATTTTTTGTCAAGTCAACCTTCTCAAATTATTTGAATTAGTTTGGCTTTTGTGCTAACTTTAGCAAAAACTTAAATATAGTTTTAAATAAATGAAATTTATAAATATTTGATAAATCAAAATTATATCACAATACAAATCCAATCTTATGAACTCTTAATTATAAGTAAATGAATATTTTTTTCTCATAATTTATACTCGGTATTCAATGTTAGAAGAAGACATATAAGGAAAAATAAAGAATATTATGAAATGCTACTCCCCACAATTTTTCATATTTTGGCTTTTCAGACTCAAACTACCAACCCTAACAGTCAAATGCCAAGTGCTCTTTTAGGCTGTTTGATTGGTCAAAGTAGCCAAAATTAGTCAAAATTGCTTAAAGTCCTTCTAAAAGCCATAAAATAAACAATATGTATAGAAATTTGATAAATCAAAATCATATTAACGCTAAATTATACTTCCTCCGTCCCAATGTATAATGCATGTTCACTATTCATAGAGTCAAACTTCATTCACTTTCTTTCTCTATTTTGGTTAGCAATTTGATAAAATAAAATACTATTATCACTACTAGTTTTGTAGATCTTTTGATGTAGTATTATGATATGTGATTTTTATTTTTTAACTCTATACCATTTGTCATATAAAATGATTTGAAAATAATTTCAGTCACACATCGAAAAACAAAACAGGCACTAAAAATTGGGACGGAGGAAGTAAGTAAATGTATATTTTTAATCTCATAGTTTATATTCAAAGTTAGTACAAAAATTAAACTAGGACAAATAGTTTGAAAGAGAGGGAGGAGTAGATAGATACTAGAATCACAAAAATTAAATGTTTGGGATTTAAAAGGTGTAGAATCATATGGGAATGTGATGACATAGAGGAGATTATGCAATTGCACATGGATGAGCGGCCTTTGGGGTAACATCGGAGCAGAAGTGAATGTGGCTTTTTAGAAGGATGTTTAATTAATTCATTGAGGAAGAAAGGTGCCCACACCGGACGTTTCAGAGCTTTATGAACGAAATAAAGAGCTGAGGTTTAAGGGAAAGAGCACGACCTTACTTGAACAGGATCTGTTCTATAGGGAAGTACCTCCGAATCCTTTACTCTAAAGAGAAAGGAAACCAAACTTGGTGGATGAAATATAGCCAAAGAGCTAGAGCGTGATTAGTAGCCACGTCCTAGCTTGGATTTGGGTAGCAATTGATCGTTCTGCACGAGTTGGGATGGCTCCTTGGCCTTCTGACAGGTGCCAACCTATTTTGTTTTTAATTTTTTCTACTTTTGTTTTTTAATCGGTACTAAATTCAAAAATACAAGATCTAGTTCCATTTTCTCAAGAACTTTTGTTGGTCGACACCTGAATGACTCGCTGTAAATGGTTTCTCAAGAACTTTTGTTGGTCGACACCTGAATGACTCGCTGTAAATGGTGGGTCCAGAGTTCTCAACTTTTGTTGATTAGTAGCTTGGTCCTACAACCTAGATCGGGTAGCCACGTCCTAGCTTGGATTTGGGTAGCAGATGATCGTTCTGCACGAGTTGGGATGGCTCCTTGGCCTTCTGACAGGTGCCAACCTTTTTTGTTTTTAATTTTTT